CTCTTGAGAACTTGTAAGCCAGTCACTTTGTGCCTTTATTGCCCCCTTATTTTAGGTAGCCAGTGTCTAAGTTGCCCATCCCTATCTACCCTTCTTACGGAAGCAGCAGTCAAGAGATCAGACGACGTATTGCGTTGGGCAAATCTGCTGCACAGGAACTTTTTAAAGTACTGAAGAGCAGAGATGTCAGCTTGAGGACTAGGATGCGCCTGACCCAGGCCATGGTGTTTTCAGTAGTCTCATATGGATGCGAAAGCTGGACAGTGAATAAGGAAGATCGTAGAATTGATGCCTTTGAGTTGTGGTGTTGGAGGAGAATACTGAAAGTGCCATGGACTGCCAAAAGAACCAATAGATCTGTTTTGGAAGAAGTGCAGCCAGAGTGCTCCTTGGAGGCCAGGATGGCTAAGCTTCGTCTCTCATACTTTGGACATGTTGTCTGGAGGAAACAGTCGCTGGAGAAGGATGTCATGCTGGGCAAGGTAGAGGGTCAGAGAAAAAGAGGAAGACTCCTAACGAGATGGATTGGCCAGGTGGCATCATTGATGGCGTCAAGTGTGGCAGCGGTAGTGAGGTTGGCCCAGGATCGGACATTGTTTCGTTCTGCTGTGCATGGGGTCCGCAGTCGATGGCAACTTATATCAACATCAACAACATCTACCCTGTGTACAAAGGTGATAGGATTGGTCCTTGATGTGATGACTCCTTACCTCTCAGTTGGTATTTTGAGCTACTACATCCATAAGTATAGATCAAGTTCATCAAATTGTAGCAATTTACACTTGTTTCCTTTATCAAGACTTTTTTTTTTTTTTAATCTTCCTTTAGTTGAGTTCTGATTATCAAGCTATCAAGGCAGGTCAGATGGGTACTATCGGCAAGTTTGGGTGTTCTCGTGCATCTCCCCTCACTTCATATCAGCTGGATGCTTCACTCTCAGCTCTAGCCCTCCGTGGCTATGTCCTTGTCCAATAGTATCAGTTCTTGATCATATACATACTATGTCTTTACTGGGTGAACATCGTCCAGTTCTTTTTGGTAAAGAGACTCTGTGTATTCCTTCCATCATCTTTGATTCTTTCTGTATCATTCAATGTTTTGCCCATGTTGTTGTTTTTAAGTGCCATCGAATCAGTTCCTATCAATGGTGCCAGTTCCTATCAATGGCGCCCTGTATAAGGTTTCCAAGGAGCAACTGGTGAGCTTGAAACACCGATCTTGCATTTCAAACTAACTTTGCAGTCCAGTGCATTAAGCGACAGTGCCACACCAGGACTCCATTTTGCCCATAGAATCCTTTGATTACAAATTGAACCAGCCTGTGACCTATGGAATGGTGGTCTATCAGAGCCCTGGAGCTGAGGGGACAGAACTAGTTTAGAGAGGGGTCTCTATGATGGGCACCAGCCTGTAACCTATGGAACGGTGGTCTGTAGATGAATTGGTGCATTGGAGCTGAGAGGGTGGGACCAGGTTGGGGTGGGGTTTGTGTGATGGGCACCAGCCTGTAACCAATGGAACGGTGCTCTATAGAATAATTGGTGCACTGGAGCTGAGGGCAAGACCAGGTTGGGACAGGGTCTATGTTGTGGGAGCCAGCTGTTAAGAAGATTTGAGGGGCTGGGAGGAGAGCACTGAGGAATGAATTCAGTGATCACCATGGAAATAAAGTTCTGCCACCTAGATATGGGTACCTGGTGCTTTGTGGTAGGGCTAACTGGTGCTCGTTGCCCCCATACCGGGATCTGCAATGTTGATTTAAGCAAAGCCCGTACTGTGGAGTTCGCTCCGAGCATAGTGGAGAGCTCCCGTGGGTGGTGCAAATGGTTCACGAGCCCCACTGCTACCCAAAAATGGGAGCTTAACTCCTACCCAGGGGTGCCTTGGACGAAAGGCCTGGTGAGCTACTTCGGAGAAACCAGCTTTATCAGGCATAGGCTGTTCTGACACACATGAGGTCACCGTGGATGCACTTTGATGCCCCAGCCTCTGGTCTCTTTGCTGTCGCTGTGCATGTGATGTTCTGAACAGCATTTCTTCCCGCCGCTCATGTGGGTTGGTTGGTTTTTCTCTGCAGTCCTGGCTCGTGTCACTGCCCTTTTAGTAGATGTGGAGTGCCCACCTGCACATCTCCTGGGCACGTGAGCCACGGTAGCTGTGTGCCTGGGAGCTCTTTGGGGAACAGTCCGGCAGCTCTCTCCTTGGCAGTATGTAGTTAGCATGTGTGCCTGTGAATGAAAAGCCTCCCCTGCTGGAATATCAATGACAAACTCTGGAATACAGCAGCATTTCCAATTTCCTTTTGTGTGGTTTACCCTCTGCCCTTGCTTCCCCCTGAAAATGGCTCACTGTGCCCCATGGGTTTGTCCCTTGGGTTGCAGTTACCATGTACTTTATCTTTGAAAGTACAAAAAAGGGCTATCAGTGTATATAGATCCACGGACACATCACTTACACATACAGAACAGGGATGCACACACACATCTGCACATACCCACAACACACAGACACATGTACATGTGGACACAACAACACAGACACATGTACATGTGGACACACAACACAGACACATGTACACAGCCCTTACACATATTAAACATGCACACATACATCTGTAGACACCCACAACACACAGACACATCTACACATACAGACACAACACAAATACACATACACAGCACTTATGCATACATAACAGGGACACACATTTGCACACACCCACAACACACAGACACATCTATACGTACAGACACAACACAAATACACATACACAGCACTTATGCGTACATAACAGGGACACACACATTGGCACACACCCACAACACACAGACACATCTACATGTGCAGACACAACAAAGATACACATACACATCCGTCCTGTCTCGTGCTCCTCCCCATAACAAGGCCCTGGGAACAGGTACTGATAAAGGGACAGTGAGGCACAGATGTCATAGGAATGTCCCATCATGTGTCCACCACGACAGGTATACTCAGCAGATGTTGTGGTCAGCAGGTAGCTCATGCTTTTTATGTAAGAGGTTAGTGAGGGAGGTAGGAGGTCAGGGATCACAGCGAAGACAAAGAGAGAGATTGGTCGGGACATCTGACAGTTGGATTGCCTCCTGGTCGCCCCGTAGTCCTTGGTGCCATGGCTTCCTGTTGTGACTCCCTGGTCCAGGACTCCCTGGTGCTCTGGCTCCTTGGAGGGGGCCCTGGCTCTCCTGACTCCCTGGTCTGTGATTCCCTGATGCTGTGTCTCCCTGGTGTCCTGGCTTCCTGTTGTGGCTCCCTGGTCCAGGGCTCCCTGGTGCTCTGGCTCCTTGGAAGGGGCCCTGGCTCCGCTCCCTGGCTCCCCTGACTCCCTGTTGTCACGGTTCCCTGGTCATAGCTCACTGGTGCACTTGCCTCTTGGTGCCTAGGCTCCCTGGTGTGCCATGTCTCCCTGATGCCATAGCTCCCTGGTGTGCATCTTCAGTAACTGCAAGGTGTCCCTTTAGTAGGGCAGGGAGGAGAGCGTCTCTGTGCAGGAGGCTGTTGGAAGCAAGAACCTGAGGTTCCTGCACTCCAGGTGTCTTGGGGGAAGGTTCATGTCCCACCTGGTATCCAACGGGAGTCCTCTCTATTCATTCGTGGTCTCTCCCTAGTAGGTGTCCCTGTGCTGAGAAGTTGACAAGCCAGCTGTCATCTAAGAGGAAAGCAGCCCCTTGAGCTCCGTTTCCTTTCCTGCTGAAGGGGAAGTGTGGGTGTTTGCCTAGGCACTGCTGGCTAGTTGACAGCAGGTGTGATGGTTGTGAGCTGGGACACAGGTAAACTTGCCCAAGAGTTCTTGCCCTGTGGTGTATGTGTGCTAGGCACAGTCATATGTGGATGCTCAGATAGTGTGGCAGGGCAACGGGCAGACACCAACACCACCACAGCTACCCAAACAGGGGACATCCGTGATTCTCATTTTGCCACAGACACTGTTTTTTGAGGTTGATTTGTATCCTGATTTGCATGCAAAGTTCAGGTTAGCTTCTCAGGAGCCTCACAGAAGTATTGTTCCTATGTATTTTGATACTTTATATTCAATTGATCCATCTGCCAATATGTAGCCCAAAGCTGTCTAACATGTACTTGGACTCCTTCATTACCTTTTGGTGGGAATTGGCCTGGGGAGAATTGTGGGGAAATATACAAGAATTTAATAACTTGGTGATTTTGACATCATCATGCTGGGTCTGGAATTGCTGGGTGGTAGAAATACTGTTAACTGAAAGGTAAGTGTTTGAGATCACTCAGTGGCACCTTGGAAGAAAAGCCTGGTGACACACATGTCATTGAAAGCCCTGTGCAGCACAGTTCTATGCACACGTGGGTTGTTGTGAGGGTCTGGTATCTAAGTGGGAGAGCTCATTGGCTAACGTTGTCTTTTTTCCTGCAGAGCGGTCAGCGTGCAGCGTTGGGGAGATAGTCCAGGAGGAGGCGGGGAACCACCACACTTGTGGATACAGGACCAGTCTCCACTTGCCTCTGGCAGCGTTGACCCCCAGGAGGCCTCAGAGCCGCCCCAGAAAGGCCGGTGCCGAGCTGGGACGCTGCCTCGTGATTATCGATACTCTGAGGAAGATAGCCCAACAGACCTGCTCCTGCCACAGAGCTTGGGCCTCCTGGCCCCGAGCACCCCTTCATCCCTACCCGGGCAAGGTGGGGACACCTGGTTGGTGAGCCCTGTGCCCTTGACCAAGCGGCCAGCCCCACTCAGGCCCCCACAACCCAAGCGTGAATCCCAGAGGCCCAGGGTCGTGGACGGCACAGCCTTGGGGGCCCCAGCCGCAGGGACTGATCCCACAGAGGCCCAGTTGACCACCGTGGACGTGAATGTGTGCCGACTGCCCCTCTCCCAGAGCCCCTCTGCTGTCGCCCCGCCCCATGGCGCCCCACCAGCTGCGCCCAGTGAGCAGGACCAGCAGTGCTTAAATGAGGAGCCGCCTAAGCCCCAACATCTGCAGCCAGCCAGCATGGAGACCTCCCGCTCCCCTTCCCCACAGTTTGCACCCCAGAAGCTGACTGACAAGCCCCCTCTGCTCATTCAGGATGAGAGCACCACAAGGTAGGGTCCCAGGCCAGGAACCCCACCTTCTGTATGTTTGGAGCCCCTTCCCTCAGGGCTCTCGCAGACCGTTCCATGTCAGTTTTGATGGGCACCTTGCTGCCGTTCATGACGTTTGGTGTAAAGGGTGGTCTTGGTGAGTAACTCCCGGTAGGGAGAAACATGCTGCAATCATTGCTGGACTTGTACTGGGTTAGGGACTGTGCTCTCCAATGCAGGGACCAGAGGCATGAAGTCAAAGACACCGTCGCTCGCTTCCCATCTATTCAAGCGACTCCCCATACAGCTGCTCCTGCAGGGGGTGGTGGTGTGCAGCTGTGGAGTGTCCGTGGCTCGTGCGGAACCGAGCACCGTGCTGCCTGACCTTGTGTCTCCCTGCTGGTCATGTGCGGTAGTGAGTGATCGTAGGGTTTAACCTGGTTGATGGTCAGAAGTCTGTAGCCAAGTCTTCTCCTAGTTCAGCATTACAACAACACTCAGACCTCCACCGACAGCCGAGTGGTGGCTGTGCCTGCAGTGCATTGACCAGGAATTAAACCCAGGTACCCCACATGGAAGGCGTGAATTCTACTGCTGAGCAGCCACCATGCTGAGTACGATGCTTGAGCCAGAATCAGGCGGAATCCATGGAAGTGTGCGATTCTGTATAGGAGGCAATAATTAGGCTAGTGATGTGACGTTGTAATTAGTTGCAGGCACGCGGCCCCTGACTAAGTGTGGCCCCCTGTCGAGCAGGAAGAAGCACTGCCTGGTCCGGCACCATCCCCATAGTTGGTTGCACATCTGACCTTGGTAACCCACAGGGTTTTCACTGACTGATTTTCTGGAGCAGGTCTCCAGATCTTTCTTGCTAGCCTGTCTGTGGTTCTGAAACCTGTTATGTATCCTAGCAACATACATACCTCCACAGACAGACAGACAGACAGGCAGTGGCTGTACATGAGGGACATTGGTCAGAAATCGAGCCAAGTTTGCTACCAAGTGGCAGGTAAGAACTCTCCCACTGAGCCACCGCTGCCCCATCGGAATATCAGGAGGCTATTTTTGCTAAGCACTTACCATCTTTGAAGGCACAATCTGGTTTCACGCAAGTGTTAGACAGTCAGGTGACAATGGTGTTTGTCATGAGGCTGAGTATTTCCACATACCTACTGTAGGTCCATATCAGTGACCAGGCTAAGCTGGTTACACATTTTATTCTGATGGGAGAAAACTCAGTACTGTTTCATGCTGTAAAGTCTCTTACAGAGTATTCTACCATGCACACAGGATGCTACTGCTGTTGTTGTTAGGTGTCATCGGGATAATGACCCTGTGCACAGCAGAACCAAACACTGCCCGGTCCTGCACCAACCTTATAATCACCATTACACATTTGAGCCCATTGCTGATGTCACTGTGCCAATCCATCTCGTTGGAGGTCTTCCTCTTTTTCTACCACCCTCCACTTTGCCAGACATGATATCCTACTCCAGGGACTGGTCCCTCTGATAATAAGTCTGAAGTATGAGAGACAAAGTCTGGCCATCCTGGCCTCCAAGGAGCACTCTGGCTGTACTTCTTCCAACACAGATCTGTTGGTTCTTGTGGCAATCTATGGCACCTTCTCCTCCAACACCATAACTCAAATGCATCAATTCAGTCTCTTTTTTTCATGCTTATGAGGTTAGTGAAAATACCATGGGTTGAGTCAGGCACACCTTAGTCCTCAAACTGGCATCTTTGCTCTTTAACACTATAAAGAGGTCTTATGCAGCAGATTTGCCCAAGGCAATATGTCATTTGATTTCTTGACTGCTGCTTTCATGAGTGTTGATGGTTGATCCAAACAAAATGAAGTCTTTGACAACTTCAATCTTTTTTCCATTTATGCGGATATCCAGTGGTGAGGATTTTTATTTTCTTTACATTGAGATGCAACCTTACCGAAGGTTGTGGTCTTTGATCTTCATCAGTAAGTATTTTAAGTCCTCTGTTCTTTAAGCAAGCAAGGTTGTATCATCTGCATATGTTGTTGTTATTGTTAAATGCTGTGGAGTTGGTTCAGGGTTTCCTAGGGGTGGCTAGTGAGCTTGAACCACTGACCTTGCAGTTCAAACAGCTTTGCAGTCCAGCGCATCAGCGCACAGTGCCGCACCAGCAGTTTGTTAGGAGTCTTCCTCTAATCCTGATGCCATGTTTTTTAATTCATATAATCCAGTTTCTCAGATTATGTGCTCAGCATACAAATTGAATAAGTATTGTCGAAGAATACAACCTGGTGCATACCTTTCGTAAATTTAAAACCATTTGGTGTCCCATGCTCTGTTTGAACGACTGCCTCGTGGTCTGTGTACAGGTTCCTCATGAGCATAGTTAAGTGTTGTGGAATATCCATTGTCCACACTGTTGTCCATAGCTTGTCATAATCCACACAGTCAAAAACCTTTGTGTACTCAATAAAGCACAGGTAATGCATCTTTCTGGTATTCTCTGCTTTCATTCAAGATCCATGTGATGTCAGCAATGATATCATCCCTTATTCCTCATCTGAGTCCAGCATGAACCCCTGGAAGTTCCCTGTCAATGTACTGTTGCAGCCATTTTTAAATGAACATTAGCAAAATTTTACTTACATTCAATATTAATGACATTGTCCAATGATTTCTGCATTCTGTTGGGTCACCTGTCTTTGGAATGAGCACAAATAAGGATCTCTTCCAATCAGTTGGCCAAGTACTTGTCTTCCAAGTTTCTTAGCGTAGATGAATGAGTGCCTCCAGTGCTGCATCAGTTTGCTGAAGGATTTCAGTTTGCATACCATCAATTCCTGGAGCCTTGTTCATTGCCAATGCCATCAGTGCACCTTGGACTTTTTCCTTCAGGATCATTGGCTCTTGATCATATGCTACCTCTTAACATGGTTGAACAGCGACCATTTCTTTTTGGTACAGTGACTGTGTATTCCTTCCATCTTCTTTAGATGTTTTCTGCATCATTCAATATTTTGCCCATAGAATCCTTCAGTATTGTAAGTTGAGGCTTGAAATTTTTTCTTCAGTTCCCTCAGCTTGAGAAATGCTGAGCTGGTCTTCTTCCCTTTAGGATTTCTAACTCCAAGTCTTTGCATATTGCATTAGGATTTACCTCCACATTTCTTCCATTTGTTTTAGTGTCTTTATGCTGGAGAGCAAGTTTCAGAGTTGCTTCTGACATCCATTTTGGTCTTTTTCTTCTTTCTTTTCTTATTAATGTTTTGGTTTCTTCTGGTATGGTGTTCTTGATATCATCTCACAATTCTTCTGGTCTTCAGTCTTGAGTGTCTAATGCATCAAGTCTGTTCCTGAGATGATCTCCAGATTCAGGTGGGATATGTTCAAGGTCATTTTTAGGCTCCTCCGGACTTGTGTTAACTGTCTTCAACTTCAGCCTACAGGGTTGCTGTAGGGTAGCCTACAGTGCCCAGGAGAGCCCCATCGTATAACAAAACATGAACAGGCCCAGAATGCCTGTTTTCCTCCTTCCCGAGCCCTACAGAAACCACTAGCCACCTGTGGCCATGCACCTGTCAGCTAAGGAGAGTTCTGTCAGATAAATGAGTGCCTCAGCCACACCAGCCGTGTTCCCAGTAGACCTCACAGGTGTAAATAACATGGCAATGTCCTTGTGGACTGCAACACTCAGGGCTCCCTAACCTTTTTTTGTTTTGTTTTTAAACTTCACAATAACTCAGCAGAAAATGGACAGCAGTCCAGGACACATGCCTCCCTTTACTGCACTGGGCAAATACTGAAGTTTTTACAAATTGAAGGTTTATGGCAACGCTGCGTTCAGCAAGTCCACTGGCAACGCTAACTTGTGTTCATTTTGTGTGTCTGTCACATTTTGTTCCTTTTCACAATATTTCAAGCTTTTTCATCATAAACAATGGACTGCATATGGCGCAAACACAACTTTTATATGCATTGGGAATCCATAAATTACATGTGACGTGCGTTATAGTGATACTTGTTTCTTGTGGTGGTCTGGATAGAACCCGCGGGATCTCTCAGCTCTGCCTGTACTACTGCCTGTCTTAAGGAGGGCTGCCGTGGAAGAATTGCACAGGAGAGGTGGCTTTTAAGGGCAGAGATAACAGTATTTCCTAGGCTGGGGGCCAGGAGTCAGAACTGGGGGCCATGCTGTCTGCTGCGAAGTGTAAAGCAGGGTATCTGTCCTCGAGTACATTCCTTCTTGGCATCTTTTAGGTACGCTAGACCTGATGTCTTATGGCTTGTAGACTGATCTTCTCATGGTCCCTTTTTATAAGACTGCACTCCAAAGATATAAGCTATAGGATTCACCCTACTCTTGTATGGGCTTGTTAGTGTACTAGAAAACAACCTCTTATTTCCAAACAAGAGTCTTGATGTGGTGCTGTACAATAAGCACTGCACTGCTAACTGCAAGGTCAGTGGTTCAAACCTACCGGCCACTCCTGAGAAACCCTATACATAGTTGCTATGTATACAGTCACTGAGTTGGAATCGACTTGATGGAATTTAACAATAAATAACATTTTGAAACAGGGTATGGGGAAGGACTTCAGCTTATCTTTTTGTGAGGACTGTCCAATCTGTACAACTGTGCAAGTGTGACATGTAGGAGCAGGTTCAACTGTGGCCCAAGGTTGTACCTTTGTTTTGTTTAAGTGAACGTGTTGCTTTTAAATACCCTATCAATTGGTAATGTTGTGAAGTCCTGAAAGGGAGGGATGCGTGGTGCAAAGGTTGAATGCTTGGATGCCAGCTGAGAAGTTGGAGGTTTAGGTCCACCCAGAGGCACCTCAGAAGGAAGCATTGGTGATCTACTGCAGAATGATAGCCACTGATAAGCCCACAGAGCCTGGTTCTGCTCAGATACACATGGGCTCTCCATGTGCCCAAGTCATCTCAGAGGCAACTAGTGTTTGTTTGTTTGTTTGTTTGTTTGTTCGTCATCTCTCAGGCCCAGAAAGGTCTCCATGCCCCAGGGCTCCAGTC